AAGTATTACAAAATTAAGATTAAGAAGCTTTTTTCTTCATAACATTTTGTTCTAATGCACTACTGTTTAATCAATATTAAAATGAAGAAATGAAAGTCAGCTCCTCGAGGCTTTTCCAGAATCTTTTCTTTTCACAAGTTAATTATCTTTTTTTCTTCTCCTTTTGAACATGCTTTTTTTTCTTCTTTTACTTTCGTTACTTTATTCTTTTGTTATTCTATTTTTACTCATATAAACTGTTAGGAACTTAGGATCAGAGTTTTTCTTATAATAAAAAAAATATTAAAATGAAGAAATACTTTTTTTGTCTGACAATTCCTTCTAAAAATAGATTTGTCTTTTTTTGTAATGTCATAATTCTGTCGTTGATAAATTATAAACATAAAAGTCATCATATATTGAACTAATATTCACATATTTTTGATCTAATAATACGCATTATTTAACAAGAGTGACTTTATTTAAAAGACATAAAAGTGCATTTTAGTTGAAGCGCAATAGACAAACGAACGCTTCCTTGACTATTCTATCCTTTCCACAAGAAAAGATAATACATTTATAATCAGTCTCTAATAACTATTAGTTTTCTTTTACTGTGTCATATTTTATTCGTTTTTTCTTTACTCCGATGTTTACTATTCTATTTCATATAATATCATAACGTATTTGGAATTTTCGGTTGTATTCTTTAGAAAAATGATATTTATTGATAGATCAGGTAGTAAAAATGTTATATTACAGAAATTATTGTATAGATGTTTGTGACAAATGAAAAAGTATAGTGTACATCTGTTAAGTGTCATTTTCTTACAAAATATTAATAGTGACAAGAAAATTGAATTCAGATGTCAATATTAGTCTCGTCGATCTTTAATTTTCTTAAGAAAAGTTGTGATAAAGTTCAAAGAGATCTGCGTTCCTACTATAATAGAATTCTTGGTTATTTCTTTCTTTATAGACACATCATGGGTAACGGACTTTCATCTTCATCAATAAATTTTGCCTTTATAAATCAATGCATTAATCGATATTTTTCTATGTTTATTTTAATTTTTGGTACAATCGGAAATTTTTTGAATCTCTTAGTATTTACACGAAAAACATTTCGTAATAATATTTGTGTAAACTATTTTTTGGCATCAACAATCGCCGACTCATTTATAATTCTTAGTGGAGTTCTTCCTCGTTTACTGGGTGGATTTGGCATGGATTTATCACAATCCTCATCCATCCTTTGCAAGTTGAAATTTTTTACAATATATCATTCAGGATATACAGCTGCTTGGTTTACTTGTTTGGCTTGTATTGAGCGCTATCTTTCTTCATCAGAAAGTGTTTATAAGCGTCATCTGATTACAATAAAACGTGCTAAATTATCTATGATTTTTGTTATATTATTTGGAATTATTATATTTGGCGAACAATTCCATTGTATTGATATTAATCAAAATTTATATGGTGCACCGCAATCATGTTATCAATTAAAAAGAAATGTTCAATGCCAAATTGCTGATAGTCTGATGCAATTTATATTTGAAATGTTCATACCTGCAATAGTTATGACTATATTTGGTGTGTTAACATTGCAAAATGTTCGTCAAAGAAAACGTCGTGTTAATGTAGCAAATACGACAAAGAGATTAGTTCCATTGTTTGCAGTAACAAACATAAGTCATCATTCTGTAACACAACAGTCAATAAATAGGACTGTCGGTCCAAACAACCAACCGGCTAGAATGGAAGTTAATCGAACAGCACAAAAGCGTGAAATGCAATTGATCATGATGCTGCTGATGCAGGTATGTGTGAAGCATAAAAAGAAATAATAATGGAACAAAAATAACTATACTTTTATAGGTTGCATTTTTTGTCGTTTCTTCATGTCCTATCAGCGTCTATAAAATCTATTCCATTGCAACTATTAATCAAGCAAGACCAATTCTACGTGCATCGATTGAAAATACAATATTCAATGTTTGTGTGCTATGTTCTTTTCTTAATAATAATATTAACTTTTATATTTATACTTTATGTGGTGCCACATTTCGGAAGGAATTATTAAAACTATTTCGCTTAGCTTAAGTGATGAACTTATTAAACAAATGAAATAAAAGATGACTAATCAAATCTTCTGTAGTTATTTTCTGCTCCTGTCTTACATGAATTATGACTAAATTATTTATGTTTATTACTTGTGTAGCATCTATAATTCGCCGTTCTATATGTTTCTTTTAATTAGTTTTATTTCCACATGTCTGGGTTGGAATTAAACAAAATATTGTATCTAAAAATAATTTTTTTATTGTAATAAAATAAGCCATAAGTAATCTCAGAGTAATCCTACAACCTTGAAAAAGATTATAATTATTACTTGTATATGTAAAGATGTGTTAGATAAATATAACAACATTATTGATGGTTGCACTCTCTACTTGCATCACAGTTAAAGCCCAGGGGTGGGTTTAGGTGTGAATGTACACAAAAAGAAAGGGAACACACTCACACCCTATAAATCCATATTCGAAGTTTTTGACATTCTTGACTTTCTAAATTTTTATTCTCTACATTTTTCTATTCGATATTTTTTCTTTTAATGATAGTTAATACATTCGGATAAAGCGTTATTTTGATATTGGCGGAGAAAAATAGGCGTTTAGTTATGACTTTTCTGAAGATGATTTTATAAATGTTCATACACGTGGTGAAGATGGTGTAGGAACATGTGCTGCAATACCGAGATATAATCATTTTACTTAGACACAGTATAATAACGGTATTTGTTGATTGAAAAAAAGAAATGTTTCGCATATATCTCGAAGCTTTTCCTACTTATGATAATAGTATGGTATGTGGATATCTGTAATAATATACAATCCTAGTGGAACATCTTGTAAGTAAGCTTTTGGCCAAGATCTTACTTACAGATATGTTAACAGATCTTAGAAATTTAGCTGCAAGATAAGATGATGATCTTGTACCAAGATCATGAGTTATATCTTAGGTACAGATTTTACAAGCTTGGTACCAGATATATTAGGTCTCTTTCTGATCTTTGGTAAAGATAATTTGATCTTGAGTACTAATGTTCAAGAATATTTAATAATTTCATTTAGAAATTAAGCGATTTGTTCTAATCTCTTAAAAATAGTCACCATTCGAATATTATTGAAGAAAATTTTCAAGAACCAGTGTAAAGTTTTAGATAAAAACATGATTAATTGATCAAATAAAGTTTGTTTAAACTTTACGCAAACGATTTGAACATTATCTTTATTATTGAATCTTCAACTTCATTGGATTATAAGCAGCAAAACTGTTTCAAAATTTTTTCATTACCTACCATCCAAGAATCAACTACAAATATCATTTTATGCATAAACTAGGAACAATTTTAGAGTATTTAATTTTGTAAATAAATTAGTGATGTTGCTATTATTTCAATCGAGATCTTTGGTACAGATGCATCTGATCTTATTAAGATATAATTTTGTAAAAAGAAACAAATTATCTTATCAAGAGCTTGAAAAGATTTTACTTACAAAATGTTTCACTAGAGAATCTGTTAATATAAAATTAATCTTTAAATAGAAAAAATAAATTTGTGTTTAAATATAAATAATTCATTATTTATTGTTTTGCTTATTGGATATTTATGAATATTCATCAAACTTTCTGCTATGTTTTCTTAATTTTACATAGATTACTTCATGCTTTTAATCATATGTATCATATTTCATTGGAAAAAAGGATTCGAAATTTTTTTTTTTTGCAAATATCTATCAATTCAGATGACATTTGCATAAGGAATCATGAAATTTTATCATAATGGAACAAATTTTATAAGAAATGGTATCATTCATCTAGGAATTAAAGATATACTTAGTAGGGTGTGAGTGAGAATAAAAGAAGAACCAGCCATACTCAAACCAACATCCTTATTTTTAAGATGTTAGTATTATTAGGACTCATGAGTGAATAATATTGCTGAAAATATTTTTTTTTATTTATATATTTATATTTCACTGTAGAATTATTACGTGTAAGGTAGGATGACTTTATGCTAGTTTATTTTTCATTTTTCCTTCAAATCTATAGTTCTTTAATCAATATTAAAATGAAGAAATGAAAGTCAGCTCCTCAAGGATTTTCCAGAATCTTCTTTTTTCTCAAGTTAATTATCTTTTTCTTCCCCTGTTTAAATATGCTTTTTTTCTTTTATACTGATATGTTTTTTTTCATCGTTACTTTCGTTACCTTATTCTTTTGTTACTCTATTTTTACTCATATAAACTGTTAGGAACTTAGGATCAGAGTTTTTCTTATAATAAAAAAAAATATTAAAATGAAGAAAACAATTTTTTGTCTGACAATTCCTACTAAAAATAGATTTGTCTTTTTTGTAATCTCATGTGTCTGTCCTTGGTAAATTAAACATCAAAGTCATCTTGTAATAAACTACTGGGGAAGTATTTTTAACCTAATAATAAACATTATTTAACAACAGTGACTTTGTGTAAAAGACATAAAAGTACATTTTAGTTGAAGCGCAATAGACAAACCAAAGCTTCCGTGACTACTATATCCTTTTCAGAATAAAAGATAATACATTTATAATCAATCTCTAATAACTATTAGTTTTCTTTTATTACAATTTATTTTTCTATACTCTAATGTTTATTATCTTATGTCATACACTATCTGAACTTAGACGTAGTTGAAATTTTCAGTTGTATTCTTTAGAAAAATGATATTTATTGATAGATCAGATAGTAAAAATGTCATAGTATAGAAATTATTGAGCAGATGTTTGTGACACAACCATGAGAGTATGTTATAGTCATTTTCTTACAAAATATTAACAACAAGAAAATTGAATTCAGGTGTCAACATCAGTCTCATCTATCTTCAATTTTATAAGGAAAAGTTCTGATAAAGTTCAGAGAGATCTGCGTTCCTAGTATCATGGAATTCTTGATTGTTTCTCTCTTTATAGACACAAAATGGGTAATGGACTTTCATCTTCATCAATAAACTTCGCCTTCATAAACCAATGTATTAATCGATACTTTTCTATGTTTCTTTTATTTTTTGGTACAATCGGAAATATTTTGAATCTCTTAGTATTTACACGGAAAACATTCCGTAATAATATTTGTGTAAACTATTTTTTGGCATCAACAATCGCCGACTCATTTATAATTCTTAGTGGAGTTCTTCCTCGTTTACTGGGTGGATTTGGCATGGATTTATCACAATCTTCATCTATTCTTTGCAAGCTGAAATTTTTTACAATATATTATTCAGGATATACAGCTGCTTGGTTTACTTGTTTGGCATGTATTGAGCGATATCTTTCATCATCAGTAAGTGTTTATAAACGTCATCTGATTACAATGAAACGTGCTAAATTATCTATGATTTTTGTCCTATTATTCGGAATTATTGTATTCGGTGAACAATTCCATTGTATTGATATTAATCAAAATTTATATGGTGCACCACAATCATGTTATCAAATAAAATCAAATGTTCAATGCCAAATTGCTGATAGTCTGATGCAATTTATATTTGAAATGTTCATACCAGCCGTAGTGATGATTATTTTTGGTGTGTTCACATTGCAAAATGTTCGTCAAAGAAAGCGTCGTGTTAATGTATTACAAACCGCGAATAGAAGAATTCCAATGATTGCAGTCAGAAACATAAGTCATCCTTCTGTAACACAACAACCAATAAATGTAACTATTGGTCCAAACAACCAACCAGCTACAATGGAAATTAATCGAACAGCTCAAAAGCGTGAAATGCAACTGATTATGATCCTGCTGATGCAGGTATGTAGTAAACATGAAAAGAAATAGAAACGATACAAAAATGATTCTACTTGTATAGGTTGTTGCTTTCATCGTTTCGTCATCTCCTATCAGTATTTATAAAATTTATTCCATTGCAACTATTAATCAAACACGATCAATTCTACGTGCATCAATTGAAAATACAATATTCAATGTATTTGTGCTTTGTTTATTTCTTAGTAGTAATATTAACTTTTACATATGCACTTTATGTGGCGCCACATTTCGAAAGGAATTATTAAAGTTATTTCGTTTAGCTTAAGTAATAAACTTATTACATAAATAAACTAAAAGATGACTAATCAACTCTTCTCTAATTATTTTCTATTTATAAATTATCTACATTTATTATTAATATAACATTCTCAGCTCGCCGTTGTATATGGTTTCTTTGTAATTAATTATATTTTAACATGTCTGCACTGAATTAAATAAAACACTGTATCCAAAAATAGTTGTTTTATTATAATAAAATGACATTATATAAGCCATAAGTAATTATCGATGGTTGCATTCTCTACTTGCGTCACAATTAAAAGCCTACATCGTTCAATGAGCCATATACTGATATTAAAGAGCGGGTTGATGAATTACTGAGTGATATTATTAGCTTCATCGATAGGATGAAATATTTGTCGATTTTTAATATGATTTTCGATGAGAAAATAGTTTTACTTAACAAGCAAATCATCAAATAGAAATATTCTCAAAATTAATTATATAACAAACAAACTGAACGTATATCATATTTTTCAAAGAAAAGTCACTGACGTTGTTTTGTTTGTTCTCCTTTCATTATGTCTTTTCACTAATGTCTTTGAAAAAGAGATAGAAGCATCTGTCTGAAAGGTACTTATTGTGAAACTAATGATAACTTGCTTCTGAGTTTTATTACTATGCATAAAATTGTTGGTCACGTTTTATCAAAAATAGTTTCAAGTTCATTTACGACAGTTCAGTAACTTTTAACAAATGGAGAGCATAGTGATATCTTATAAATATATACAGATTTTGACTTAGAATTGTAAATGATTACTTAACAAAAAATCATACTTTTTAAGGTAGATATATCAGATGGAAAGTAATCTCTATCATTTCAATAATCAAACCACTATAAATATGAATTTAATGATATTTCAAGAACAATCTAAAGAGAATGTACTTTTCTAAGCTATTCTTAGCTTGCTTATGATGACAGAAAAAACTGAATACCTAAAGAACTATGCACCGAATAATTGTCACATTCTACCAACTAACATTTTATTTGTCAAAGGATCTGGTATTAGAATAAAGTGGTCTTCTTTTTTTCTTTTAATGTCACTCCATCAAAGTATCGTGAAGAATTTTCATTAACGGAAATTAAACATTTCATTTGTCTACCTATTGTTTTCATACGCAGTATTTTACGCTACCTAGGGAAAAAAAGATAATTTCGGAAGCTGAAATCGTCACCATAGTTCAAATTCTTGTTTTTGTCATCATATTTACCTACTCAATAGTATACATTGTACCGATCTTATCTTCCTGGGAAATTTTTCATACCGTGAATAATATTCTAACAGCACATCTCTTCTGAATCGTATATTGTCTATTATATTAAATTTATTAAGTGACTCCCCTTCAATCTAGTACGCTTTACTTTTTCATGCCATTTTGACAAACACTGTTGAACTGTTTACTTATCTATGCCTTGATAATGATAAATATCAATCGATATTTCACAATAATCTATCTCCAGCTTTATAATATGAATGTGTACAATAATATTAATAGAAATTCAACAAGATTTCATCTAAAAATCAGGGAGGGCCTTGTCGAGCGAACGGAAGAGCTGTTGTTATCATTTTTATGAAAAATATTTTTCTTTTTCAAAGTGAAGAAGATGGTCTCACTGGCGGAAATTCCTGTTATCATAGTAGCTGTATACTTGAGAGTGAATGTGAGTGGGTGAAGTAGAGTATCCATACTCTCGTACCTATCATCTTATTATTACTTTATCATAGTAGTAAAAATAATAAGAATTATTACCAATTACCAAATAAAAAGTAATGTGTCACCCCTAATACCAATCTAAATTATATATCATAGCATGCATTTCATCTTGAGGGTGTGGGTCTGGGTGTGAGTACGAATAAAGAATAAAGTATACATCCACATTCACTCCTCTTGTATTATATTTAGTATAAAAATCTTTTAGAAGGATTATCTATTATGGATAATCGTCTGATATAAATTTCTGTAGTGCAAGATATTGCAACGTAAATAAAATTTGTAGATCTATATTTAACTAATTTCAGATGAATACAATAATACAGTTACATAATGCTTACAACATAAAAACTAAATATTATTAATACATGTCGTGTAATGTCTTAGAAGGAATTAATCTTAATTTTGAAGTTGTCGTGTTCCTAAAGGTTCATTTGTATTATTCTCTCCAACTGTTTGTCTCATCCATTTGCCAAATAATTGTTTGAATTCTTTACGAAATGGTTTTGATACCAGGAAATATGTATAAAAAGGAACAGCACTATTAAAATAAATAAGTATTGTTCCAAAATTAGAAATAAAACTTTCAATTTGAAGATATGTAACACTTTTCGTAACACCCATAGTAGTACTTATTGAAATTTCCATAATAATAAATGGATAGACAAACGTTGTTACCACATAAATAGCTACTTCTGCAAGTACCATACTAAGTAAATCTCGATCTCTACGATGAATTGTAATTCTATTATTTTCGCCAGCATTGTTAATACCAATTGGCTGAACACGATTATGTAATTGTCTCATATTACGGTAGGTTAAAAGGGCACAAATAACCATTATTGTTGATGGAATTATACAAACAAAAACTAAAAGATAAATATAATATAATAGATAATAAACATCTGTTGGACCGCATCTTCCGCTAGTAATTGTCATTAATATGAGTATATGAACAGGAAAGATATGCCAGAAAATACATACAATTCCAATAATCCATTTTACTAATGAATAACGATTCATGACTCGAAGACGAGCATAATTACATGTCATAATAAAGCGATCAACACATGCAAGTAAGATGGCATATCTAGCTATTTGACCCCATACATGATAAAGATAAAAACGTATTTTGCAAAAAGATAGAGATCGAACTGTTGGATCTCCGTAATTAATAGTATAGAGAGTTATTGGAATATTCAATGTCATAAAAGCAGTATTCATTATTGCTGCTAATATAAGATACATTGAACATGAATTACGACGATGTTGAATGAATAAAATTACAATAAAAGCATTGCCAATATTACCCAATATCATGATTATTGGTAAAACATATTGATTGAGTTGAACTTGTAAAAGTGGTAATAACGAAGATGACATGATATTTATTGTATAATATATGTGAACGTGTAAATATTTTCTTTAATAGAATGACGACGATATATATGAGCTACTGTTGCTAGACAGTATTTATAAGCTTCATGCAAGATTAAACAAAGAATAAAGAAAATTAAAAATTTTATAATTAAAAAATCTTTATTCTTCATTTTATAAAGAATAAAAAAAACATTTTCTTTGAGTAGCTTACAAAAAATATGACATGTTTGCGTAGGCAATGTTCTCAATTTTGTATTCCTAACGGAATGTCTTTTTCACCTGTAATAAATGACAACTACAGGGATAATTCAAATGTTCTCGAAATCGACTTACTCTGCTGACGGAAATAATAAAATAGTTGTTTACGATATCATACAGGATATTATTTAGACATATTTTAGTGGAAAGGCACACCCTCCACAAAATGATAGATTTAATGTAATGAAAAATTTTTCTTGATTAAATTTAATTATGTTGTAAATTAAATAAAAGAAAAAGTCAAAAGATTTTCTTCTGTCGTAAACACATATTTACGACGTTTTCTTTCTTCTGCATCTTACTGTGAAATAATAACGTATGTCGTCATTTTGAACTCGATTTAAATTGTCTGTTCTTCGTCCTAAGACATAATTATTGCGTCTGGTGCATAGATAAATATTTTATTTATTTTCTTATTGATGAATAACAGCCTCGTATTCTCGAACCGATGATGATGCATTGTGCTCTCAGTAAAATTTTTTGAATGAGATTATTTCTTTGCTTATCAAAATACAGCAGTTAAAACTAATAAAAATAAATTTTATAGTTATTTTTTCAGCTGTGAAAATTTCAAATTATCAAAAGTTTTAGTTTTTTTTGTCGTTCTATGTGTAAATGTTTACTCTTACCTGTAGTTTATTCATGTAAAAAAATCAAACTCATTTAATATAATGATCAGATTTAGTTAAAAAACAAAAATTGAGTTTAATGTGCCTCTATGGCTCAGTGGTAGAGCGCCAGTCTAGTAAACTGGAGGTCCGCAGTTCGATCCTGCGTGGAGGCATCTTGTTTTTTATTATTGATCAACAAATATTTGAAATAATTTTTAAGAGATAGATTTATTCATCATCGGAACAATTTAGTTTTTGTTTAGTATTAAAATTAAATCTAGAGATACATTTTTCATATTTTATCATTAGTTTATTATATAACGTTCTGCTAGAATATTTTTCGATATACATAAAGTATATATTGTCTTCTCTTCTTGATCATTATTTTATTTGTTGATTCACTTTTTGTCAGTATATTTTTTAATTTATATTCACACTCTTTCACGAAGAAACCTGAAATTTATTCGATAAAAAAATGATTTTTTTTGATTTAATCCATGGGTTAAAGTTTATTTCATTATAAATGGATTTAATCGAATAATTGTCTTCATTTGACATTTTCTAAAATCTTTCTCTTAAAATCTACGATATATGTACATTAATTGATCAAAAAGAAAATGAAATATTTTCATAAGGATGTTTCATGAAGCAATTTGAATATTGGTGTTAATTATTAATTAATTAGAAAGATACTTTAAGATTTAGAAAATTGGCAGTCAACTATAATTTCTACAGAATTTTATTATCATAGTCATATAAAAATAAGATTTTATTTTTTGCTGGATGTCACTACTGTTAAATAAACGAGATGATTCAATACTACATTCGATTCGTTTGGGTATGTATTGAAACAAAAACTATTTACAAAGATGATAATTAATTCCAATAGCATATATAATATTAAATATAAATGAATCAATAAAATGTCTCATACTTATAATTTTGCTTTAAAATATTAATACAGGCAAAATACCCGTGATTAATCTTATTCGAAACATCCGTATATATCGACATCGAAGGCGCAAATAATAATAGCAATACTTAAATATACAGAGCATTCGGAGGCTTATTCAACAAAAATAGAAATTCAAGCCATATTTGATCTTCATAAAGAAATTTGAATAATAATAAAGAAGAAGAAAAAAACGTTTTCTTTTTTCACCTATGTTCTTTATCATAACAGATGAATATATAACATGAAAAGCAATGAAGCAAGAAGAGCGACATATGTAATGATATTTTTAATATAAAACATACATATCGATGTATAAAGTATGATTATTTTTTCTAATATAGGCATTACTTTATTATATAAAATTAAAATGAACAAAGACAGTGATTTGTATGAATTATATTTAACAATAAAATTTATAATAAATGGATACATTTTATGGTTATATTATAATGTATTATATATAATGAGAATAAAATCTCGAAAAACTCAAATCGATGTTGATGATCTTGTTCAATCAATTCAAGAATGTCCAAAAGGTAAAAAAATAAAAATTCAACGACATAAACGTAAAGCTCTATCGAATTCAATACGTTCCTCATCGTTAAAAATAAATCAACATACATCAATACATTTCATAAACATTGGAGTAGCAAATCGAATTTTATCTATTGATAAATCATCGAAAACAGTAACATGTGAACCTGATGTAACAATAGAAGAATTAGTAGATGAACTACTTCCATATAATCTTCTACCAACTGTTATTCCAGAATTTAAATGTTTAACAATTGGTGGAATATTAGCTGGAGCAGGTCTTGAAAGTTCAAGTTTTCATTATGGACAATTTTCTGATTCATTAATTGAAGCAACATATATTTTAAGTAATGGTCAAATAATAACGTGTAGTCCAACAAAAGATTCTGATCTCTTCTATGGTGCATTAGGTTCATGTGGAACATTTGGATTATTAATTCGTGCTAAACTACATGTATTAGAAATTCCATCGAATTGTTTTGTCCGATGTAATTATCATATTACGAATCAACCTATTGAAAAATTTCCATCATTTATTAATCAAGAAGATTATATAGATGCAATTGTTTTTTTAAAGTCTACTGTTATTATTACAGGACAAAGAATTGATGAAGTATCTATACCGAAAAATGAACGAATACAAAGGTTTTCTCGAGCTTGGGATCCTTGGTATTATCAACATGTAAAACAAATTTGTAATAAAAATGTTATATGTGAATATATTCCATTGAAAGATTATTTATTTCGATATGATCGTGGAGCATTTTGGATGGGTCGTTATCCTATTAATCCATTACAAGATAAAGTTTATTATTTTCCAGCATTTACTCGAAATTTTATAAATCTTTTTCCACTTGGTGGATATAATATTATTAGTCGAACTATTCTTTCACCACTTTTTACAACAGCTTCACTCTATCGACGTCTTCATAGTTCATCAACTAAAATGATTTCCGATACATTACTTATTCAAGATATTTATATTCCAATATCGAAATCAAAAGAATTTCTATCATTTCTACAATCAGGACAATTATTTACGAATGATGATGAAATATTAGAACCTATTTGGCTTTGTCCAATTCGTTCAAATTCAACTCCACAAAAAATGAGTCCACATTATGTGGAAACTAAGGCAAATGATCAGGATGATTTATTTATTAATTTTGGTATGTGGACTCATCAACGAAGATGGCAATTAGGATCTTCTGGTGGTAAAAATGCAACAAAAATATTAGAAAGAGAAACTAAAAAATTAGGTGGAAGAAAAATGTTATATTCACAGAGTTTTTATTCAAGAGAAGAATGGTCGACAATTTATGATATGCAATGGTATAAACAAATGAAAAATAAATGGGATCCAGATTACATTTGGGGAGATTTATATGATAAAATTGTTCAACATTAGAGCAAAAATAAAACATTTCATTTTTGTCTTATAGTGGTTTCTTTCCTATGAATACATATAATACGATTACTCCCTATTTATAAAACTGATCGAATAGAAATGATCATCTAGGCTGAAAATAATTTGTTTCTATAAAAAAAACACTTACATTTGGTATATTTTATTGGCTAGTATTTATTTGAGCAATAAAAAATCCTGTTCGAACAGTTTCAAATTATGAAATGCGTAATAATTAATCCATTAAACAGCAATATTAATTTCATATTTTAGTAATAAGAAAAAGGAAAATGAGTCATATATGTACTATTGTGGCAATAAAGCATTTTTTTTGCTTTAAACGGTTTGCTTCTTTTTCTTTTTGAGGGTGTAAGTGTCGGTATGGATAATGTATTCACTCACACCCACCCTCAAGAAGTTATATATTATACAATAGTAGTATAATAGATGAACAATTTCAGAGTGGTAGGAAATATGATTCTGACAGATTCCGAGAATCAATCGAATAGCAGGTATTATGCAATTGCGGAATAGGATGTATTCTCCTCTGCAAATGCTTATAGTACGTTCGATACAAAACAAAGTATGCATAATAATTCTGCACTACTATATTCAACATCGGTATATTCATTTCAAATCTCGATTGATTCACTTGTACGTTTAAATGAAACTCAGTGGTACTGTATTTACTCATTCTTATATGATGTGGCGTTTTAGTTTGCCTGAAATATCAATTTATCACCTTCCGACATTGAATGAAGAAAAATAAATTAGTTTCGAGTAGATGAGATGGGTCATCGGCAATAAATTTCTTTTTCATGTTTGCCAATATTTAATAATGGAAAATTGTTATTGGCAGATATAAATCTGTTCAGATTTGAGGTGTTACTTTATTTTTATGTTCTGTTATAATAAAGAATAAAGATACAAAAGCAGAGCAACCTTTTTTTTTAATAAAATAAAAATGAAGATAATGTTTATTTATAGAACTAAAGCCAAGATAAATAATAAAGCATGACTTCTGTAAATTAAAAAAACTAGATTAAATCATTGTCACAGTAACAAGTAATGTCAATTCAAAAATGTATCGTAATTTAGAATTTTCTTTCGTCTAACAAAGGTGTAGTACAAAATCAGTAAAATATCAAAAAATTTTATTCATGAAGCTTTATTTGCTTTCGATATAATTCTTATATTAACATCCCTTTTGTGATATCGTTCAAGACTTTTAAAATACGCATTATATATTGTTGTTTTTGCCCAGTTGAAAAAACAATAGATGATCGATATTACTACATTTGTATACCGATAAGATGTGAAGAAAAGACAAGTCTTCGCATTCTCCCATACAGAGTGAATTAGAAGCCTTGATTCGATTTGTATAATCATTTTTTTAATATAAAAATTTGTCCTAATGATAAAAAGGTGGAGTCCATCTTTTATTATGGGTAGAACTTGACTCAAATTAAAGTCCTATTCACTTTTATAATAAAATGTCATACAATTTTTAGAAAAAGAGTATTAAAATTTTCAAATATTATTGAAAGGATTTAATGAAATAAGTAACATGACATTAAGACAAATAATCAATTTAAAAAAAAGCGCATTAGCATATTGTCATTTTTTTGCGTAGTATCTTTTGAATTCATTTTCTAATTGATAAATAAACACCTACGAAATTAAATATTTATAATATTAATTTATTTATTTTGTTGTCAGTTACAAGGTTATTTTTAATCTTTATAAAGTAGATATAAACGAGTATTTCCAGTTGAGATTCAACTACAGTATACTATTACTTCACTACGGATCTCATATAAACTAATATTTCACTAATTTTCAATCGTCTAAAAATTTTCGGAAACATTTTAACAATTAATATATTTGATTATCATGTCGTCTGAAATGGATTATATCAAATTATTAGTATCAGTACAAACATATTTATATCAATTTGGTGGTGCATTTTTGATTTGTGTTGGTTGTATCGGTTGCATATTTAATTTGATTATTTTTTCGAAGAAGAATCTTCGTAAAAATCCATGTTCAGTGTATTTCATTGCATACAACATTGTTAATCTTTCTATAATGTGTGTAAATCTTTCACAAACAATGCTAACATATGGCTATGGCATTAGTACGTCAACATGGAGTAATAGTTTCTGTCGTTTTGTTTATTTTGACGCATATGTTGTTGATATTCTCAGTTCATTTTATTTGATTTTGGCCTCAATTGATCGAATGTTATTCACTTCACGAAATGCACGCACACGTCGACATAGTAATCATCGTGTTGCATATACGTGTATCATCGTGGGTACAATATGTTGTATGTTATTTCATATTCCTTCATTGATTTTCGTCAACATTATCGAAATTATACCGAACTATTATGTCTGTTATTCCGATTCTGATGGATATTTAGCATTTACAAACTATTATAGATTAATAAAAGACATCCTCATACCGACACTTATGATTATCTGTGAAATATGTACCATCAAGAACATTCAATCTTCACATCATGCAAGAGTTATTCCTTTGTCAAATACAGTCGGTAATGCTTTGAATCCTGCACGTCCTAAAGATCGTCAACTGATCAAAATATTACTTGTCAATATTACGGTTTGTATTACTTTCAATTTGATGCCTGCCATTGATTCTCTCTATCAGCAAATTGTCCAATATCAAAGCAAAAGTCTAGCACAAAGTCAAATGAATTCGTTCCTAATGACTGTAAGCGATTTTGTCAATTTCATTCCAATGTCAATCAGTTGTTACATTAATTTGATCGTATCAAAAACATTTAGAAACGAAATTAAAAATGTACTTTTGTGCAAATAAACTATTGTCTATGTTCGTAAACGTGAAATATAGTGATGTTTTTTTTGTTCTTACAGTTTATGTATACATTTATCTTTTCATTAATAAATTTTTATCCTTGATGGTACGATGGTCTAGCATAAAGATTCGACATATATATACATAAACAGGATGGAAAAATTCAAAGATAATGAAAGAAAAACAAGGAGAAAGAAAAGTACTTGAACGAGTCAACGTTTGGAAAATACAATATATATGTAGAAATCCTGGATAAGCCATCGATACGATACAATCAAAGGAAAGAAAATAAAATATTCAATACAGACGAATGATATTGTAACACCTGGGTTTATATTGCTCCCTATACATACGATTTATTTTTAGTTTAAATAAATTATTGCTCACTCAGTATTATTATTGCTCATTTAAATATATCAAGATTCTTTTCATAATATCAAAAATGTAATAAACTTGAATAGGCACAGTGAGGTTAAAGATAAATATAATATAGTCATTCACATTAGTAGACGATATTTATTTTCATCTTAATGTTTAATGATATATTCTAACAATTATTTTTTACTCTCGTTATAATACTTAAAACATGCATTCTTGCTTTGAATTATCAATTTCGCAGTTATAGATGAGTGTTAGTTTCGATATGAAAATCATATTGGTCATAGTTATCCTCTTTGTGATGAATTCGAAAACTACTAGCATGTACAAATGTCACGCTAGATCATTTAATATTGGTTACTATTGAACAAATGTTCTGTAATAGAGAGTTTAGTAATATACTAAAATTAAAACGGATACCAATGTTTTTCTTTCACATGTTTGTATATTTCTATTTACACTCCTCTCACTTATCCTTTTATTGTTCTTCCATTTTTTGTTGTTCTAAGTAAGAGAGGATGTGTTGGAATGTATGTATACATGAGAGAAAGCGGTAGATATGTCTTGTTCTCTTCTTGTGTGTTTGGTATGCGATGTGTCATCATTCTTTTTTATACGGGTATGTGTTGAGTTATAGAATAAAAAATATTTCTTTTAACAAGTTTATACAATAAAAAAAACGATATAGAAATTTTGTCATGTCTTACTGTAATTATATTATACAATGTGTTATTTTTTCTATATATATCATATTTTCTATCATCACTACTCGAATAACATCGTAATTATTTTGTGAAATTGTATCATCAATGTTTTTACATTAGATGTAGTTTATACGTAGTGTTATTTTAAATATTGATTTATATTTTTCATCTTTTTCTTTCCTTTCTTAACAAGTTAGTTTGTTTTCAAGGACGAGAATTTTATTCCTTTCTTTTTTTTTTATTCTCATGAGTGTTTGTTATTGTTGTTGTTGAAGGACATGAAATTTATCTTTCTTTCTTTTCAGACAGTCAGTAAATTGTTGATGTAAATATAAGCTGGTGCAATCTACATTACAGTAACATGAGTAAAGGTACTGCTGGTGCGCCCTTTAACAATGATTGGAAATGCGGATGGTTTCCAGAATGTAATGCTCCTTGTCAATCACCATGCCGCAACGCCGATCATCCACGCAAGAAATGTGCTGCCGAGAAATTACATGAACTCAAGGACTGTGTTCACGGCAAATGGGGGTTCTATTACAGTCCAAACGGTGAGATTCGAACCTGGGGAGGTATTAATAAATTTAATCCCAGTGGGTGTGCTGTAGTTTATTTGCTTATCTACAATCGAAATAAACAACAGTTTCTTTTTGATTTAAGTAAAAAGGGTGAATACACTTTACCATCTCATCGCCGCCTCACATACGATCCCGAAGATCTGCACGTAGTTGCTACGAGAATTCTCGACACTTTACTCTTACCTGGTAATCAAAATGTTCCAGTTACATCTATTCCTCGTCGTTTCATCTTTACGGATGCATCGGTGATCTATCCAGTCTGTTTAAACAATGAAAATGCATCGCAAATTATTTTCAAAAATGGGCGAAAATGGTTTGATCGAAAAGTAGTTGAGCAAGCTATGGAATTTGCTACTCTTGAATGGGCACTCAAGAAGGACAATCAAAGCTACGGATACGAAGTCAAAGACAGAGGAGCACAGCTGGGACATCGACCGTTATTTACACTACCTACGCTCGTTTTGCGATGGCTTTTCGAAAATCAAAATATCGAAGCAACGAAAACTCCAAGAGCAAGTTCTCCTTCTCTCTCTACTGCATCTAGTTCAATCTACTCTTCAATCTCTGTTCCTATTTCAAATACAACATCAGCGTACGCCTCTGCTTCATCCACTTTAGATGAACCTGTCAATCATGTTAGTTTTGATGAATTTTTTGGATTGTAAGAAAAAACGAAAGACTGTATTATTGTTTTTTTGAGTGTGGTTGTATGTAAAAAAAAAATGAGACACACCCTTTTTTTTGTCATCTACAGGAAAAGAAACATCGAATAAAGGTTTGAAATGTTTATTTAAAAAAATCACTGTTACTTTCATTTAAAAACGAAGAAAAAAAAGTATACTTGAGCAAGAAGAATAGTTAGATGATGATAAATATTAATTTAGTTTGAAAAGAAAGAAATATATGCACATATAAATATTCAACGAAATAAAATAAAACATTCTTTTGTTTTTATACATATCATTTAATTTACATTGACTTATTATCGAAGAGTATATCCTTCATCAGCTTCATTCTGACGTTGTAAATCAAATAATTCTGATTCCTGATGAGCAAGATCAAATTTTTCTTCTGTTTGAAATAATATTGCACGATTTTGATCTTCATCTTTCTTTATCCAATGTCCATATAGAAGAAAAGCTGCAGAATCAACCATTTTACGATAAAATTTAAATCGATATGGACTTTCTAATAATTCTTCTCTTCGTATAGGTTGTGGTGTATAATGTAATGTTCTTAAACGATGTATTGACCAAATAAGTACAATATGTGCTTTAAGTGTTCTTTTAGCCATAAAATCTCTAAATCGTATTCGTTCATTATTAAAAAATGAATGTTGTAGTGCTTGTGCAGCTGTATAACGTTCAGATGGATCAATATCTAATAGATGACGAATTAAATCTTTTGCTGTTTTAGAAACATTACTCCATTCAGAGCCAGTCATTGTATATTGACCTTCCTTAATCATACGAAACATTAAATGTTGTTTTCTATTCGGGAAAGGTAAGAAACCACTAAGTAATCTATATAATATAACACCACACGCCCATAAATCCGCTGGAAGCCCATAACCAGGCATACCATTATGTGGAGAACATCGAAGTAATTCAGGTGCCATATAACTAGGTGTTCCAAAATGATCATATAATGATTTATTTTCTGATATTTGTACTGCAAAACCAAGATCAATTATTTTAACATTCATATTTGAATCCATTAAAACATTTTCTAGTTTTAAATCTCGATGAACAATATGATGAGAATGTAAATGACTAACTGCATTTAATATACTGGACATTATTTGACGTGTACGTTTTTCTGATAAACGCTTATCTTCAGTAAGATAATCAGATAAGTCTCCATTTGGACATAATTCCATAAAAATAAATACATAATTTGGTGTTTCAAATGATGCGACTATATCAATAATATTTGGATGTTTACCAACTAATTTCAACATTTGAACTTCATATAATATTGCTGCACGTTCATGTTCATTATTATCATTAAATTTCATTATTTTACAAGCATATTCTGTTCTTGTTTCTTTTTCTACACATTTAAAAACAACCGATGATGAACCTCTTCCTATGACTTCTATTGGATCATATTCTTGATAGAATTGTTCAGCGTCTTCACGATTTGGCAATTCATCATTCATACCCAATGCCATAATAAAATTCTTTTTAACAAAAAAATTTGTTTTTTTGTCTTACTGTATATCCTTTTGCAACTTTGTAGTAAGCAACTTTTGTCGATATTATGTGGTGCACGACATCTTTTATGTCTTTACACATTTTACGATTCTCTTGAGTCTTATCAACAGAATATGTAAAAAGACAAAGTTGATATCGTGCGTTATTTTCTACTGAGAAAAGTTGCTTATTACAATTTATTAAGACATGAATGATCTTGACTGATCAAATATATGTTGCAATGATGAGAATATGCGGATTAATAATATCATTAATCTGCCAAAGCAACTTTTGTTTTTTGAAAATAAAATCTAAAAAGAATGACTGTATAGTTGTTTGTATATGTTTGATTTATCACTAACATCATAAATTCTACATCAGTATAATATATAAATCATACATAATATGAATCAGAATCATCTAAGTTTTTATTTTCGAAAAATATGGAATTCATTCTTTTCTTTTTTACTTTGATCTCATTATTTTAGTTATGAGACAATATAAGTCAAAGAAGGGTGCGTGCCGATGATGATAAAAATACTCACATCCACAATCACACTCTCAAAATATGTTGCTTCATTTACATAACACGTGAGCACCACTTTTCTTTCAAAACAAAATTGGAAGAAACCAATTGTTGACGGCCAACTGAAAGCAACACATTTACGTGACGCAAATACAAACAGCTACTCACTTATACTACCTTCAAACACAACATCTTTGCCCGTCAAAAGGAAAGAAAGAACGCATGTGTCAACTGAAATTACTTATTAATGCAACAAATTCTCTCTTACTTATTTCAAAAAACACATTGTAATAGAGTTGGTAATTTTTTGATACACTCAGAATGACTCAACTACAAAACACTAATGTGAAAAGGAAAAAAAACAACTCACCATCGTATGAAAAGCAGCACTTTTTTAAAGTTACACTCGTTCAATTCCTGATTTAAATTTGTGTTAAATAGTCCGTCATTCGATTGTTCTATTCTTCGAATATGAAAATTTATCTCCAATCAATAGATGATATTACTTTGACCTTCGAAATGAACGCCTCGGATACAATCGAAAAGCTCAGAAAACAAGCCGCAGCGAAAATAGGCATCAAACCAGAAAACATACGACTTATATTTGCAGGCCAAGGACTAAACGACTGGTCCACATTTGATTATTATAAAATCACAGATGAATGTACACTCAAGACAACAAACAAGCTGCAAGGGCTCGTTACTGAATAATCAACATTCACCTGCAAAGATGAAAGCTGTAATGAACTTACTTGAACTATAATAATACTGTTTCACTTATTTCACTATTAAAAAAATTTGATTACAAAATACTCTTGATTTTTTTGCTCACGTTTGAATAAAATATCTCAGTATCGTTTCAAAGACTAAATGAAATCTTATTTTTCAATACGGTGTGAGTGTGAGCGATATGATCCTCATATCGAAGCTCATGTTTATACTATCACGATTGAAGATGTGTATAAAGTATGATCAGTATTTTATTTTTTTTAGCAGAAAATGAATTTGAATCGGGAAAGCTATGCTGTAGTGCGAATGTAAATGTATCTCAGGTGGAAGTCGAATGGAAACCTCGTAAAAGAATAAGTTCACATTACAGTTCTACAGAAAGGAGGAAGAAAAGCAGCTATTCGGATCAAGATCAGTTTGTAAATAAAGTGTGATGGCTAGAGAATATTATTGACGATCAAACCTTTCCGTATCATTATTGACTTCTTTCAATAAGTTTTTATCATCGTACTCTCATGTAGTTCGATAATGAAAGTTTCTTCTAGTTACTTTCATACGTACAGCCAGACTTCATAACATCAAGGAAACTGTTACCTGACATGAGTCTTGTCCTACTATGTAAATCGCTTCGCATATTAGACGGTCTGAATTTTGAAAAGTAACTTTGTTCGTCGAATTGTTTGGATAAGTATTGCATCCGAATTTCATTTATTTGAGCTTGTTATTTATTACTTATTATAAACAAATTAACTTTCAATTATCTTTTTCTTTTTCTTACAGATATTTCAAATTCCAAATAATACTTTAATTAGAACAACTGTCACTATATGATGTTCGCGAGTTGTTACTTACGATACTTTTACTGCACTATCACACATTTAAATATTCGATCCCAAATAAAACAAATTTTTGTTTTTATACTCTTGCAAATTAGTTTATCATGATTAACAAAAGCTACAATTCATACGATAGTTTTAATTATTCTTTCAAGTATTCTGTTAGTTTTACAGTATAGTGTGATGATAATCATCAGATTTAGAATGTATGATCATTGGAGTATCTTGCTTATAAAAAGATTGACGTAAGTCATGAATGAATATATCTATAAATAAAAACAACAACAGATAATCTAAAAGATAATGTATAATCATATTAGAGTACAACGTAATGAGGATATAAATGCAAATGAACTAAACGAAATACTGACAGTCAAGTTACCTTATTTTTACATGAATATGTATTCTAACGAAAGAGAATAGGAGATAAGATAATTTCTATATAATATTCTTTCGCGATCAGTAATTATCTCATTGGTAGTTTTAAATTTATTGATTCAAATCATTCCAGAAAAGTCAGATTGATTAGTGCAGACTATACATATAGATGGTGTGGATGTGGTAGACTATTGAATCTGAATGCATATACGAAATGGATATAAAATATTCACATCCACACCCATCATCAAGAAAATGGACTTATATATAATCAATGTGTAGTATATCTATTGAGGATTTATCCCTCAAAAAATCACTTTTGTGCAAATACTTATGTGTGTGCTCACAACCGTTGCATGCGTGCACACATGTAAGTTATATATATGTATGTGTTTTTTTTAACTTCATGCTTGATTAGGATCACTTTTCATCTATCCTTACATCACGGACCTTGTGTTACTTCCTCTGTTTTTCTAATGTGTTTTCATATTACTCCTCATGCGTTACTTCCTTAATAATTTCACAGATTCTTTATGCATGACTAGACACGGTAATCAGCAATAATTTAAAAACATTTTTATTTCTTGTAATGTATGTGTATATTCCCATATATATATAAACCCGGTTATATATACGTTCATTTTTTGAATTCTCACGACGCAACATTTTTTCTTTTACTTCACTTTAGTTATTTCCTTTTTGGTTTGCGTTAAAGGTAAGGATGAAGTCGCAATATTATTCGTCTGCTAATAATATTCTTGTTTGATAGTCTTTATAATTTGGTACACTTTTCCTGATTTATTTTATATGCCTAGGTGATCACCAAGTCAAATGACGAACAACACGACTTCTATTCTTGAAATGAGCAAAGACGATAATGCATATTCTCGTCCACAATCGGAGCTGGTTGACTCAACACTACGATATGTTCGTGAAGCCATTGATGTACTCGACATTTCTTCTTCATCTACTCCTCTTTTCATTGTTAATTTTGGTTCGGCTCATGGATCCAATTCGATATATGCCATGAAGATGATCATTCAATATCTGAAAGAAGCTAAAAAGATAGATAATGAGGAACAAATCATTGCTGTTCATAATGGTTTACCAAAAAATGATTGGACATCCTTATTTGAACTTAGCAGTGAGGAAAATTCATATTCCAATGCGGCTTGTGGTGAACCTTTTTATGAGCAATGTTTGACACCAAATACTATTGCAATTGGATTTTCAATTGCTTCACTTCACTGGCTATCACATAAACCATGCAACTTGTCGAATCATTGTGTTGCTACTTTTGCACAAGATCGAGAAGAACGTGAGGCATTCAAACATCAATCGAAACTTGACTTGACTTCATTTCTCAAACATCGTTCTACTGAACTTGTACCTGGTGGTGTTCTCATTCTGAATATTCCATGTGTCAACGATCAAGATTCATTGGGCTTTGATAACTATGTTCATTTGCTATACAAATGTGCCAAATCTATTACGCACATTCAACAAGTATTGCTTAATTATACGATTCCTTTATATTATCGATCGTTCTCGGAATGTGTCGATGATGAGCTTTTTGCTAAATGTTCCTTCGAACTAATTAAAGTTGAATTTAACAAAACAAACATTGCTCTAATGGATCAATACCAAAATGGAAATGTACCACTGGATAAATTTTCAAAAGTAGTCACATCGATCATGCAAAGTTGGTCGGAATCGTCACTTAAACAAGCATTAGAAATTAACGGGCAAAGCACAGAAGAAATTAATAAAATATTGGATCAATTCTGGATATTGTACGAGCAAGAGATAAGAGCAAATCCAGATGAATACATTGCTTGCTCTTATTATACATATTTAATCCTGAAAAAAGTTTGATGGACGTCAAACACTTATTCAATAAACAATAAAACTTTCTTTTTGAATTGAACATTCTTATACAGACTTTATTTTTTTGACGATGAATTTAGAGTGTGGCTGAATGTGTGCTACTGTAGAGATACAGCTAATGTGTTCATCTTACGCCTACATCACTATTTCTCCGTCTAAGTTAACTATTATAAGACAAAAAGAAATAATACATTATAATCAGTAATAATATATTGAATTTTTCATATTTTATTTCATCATATATTCACTCAGCAAAATATGACAATAATTTTAATAGAGAATTAAATTATCAAGGGGCATAAATTTCATTCGAATAGTCCGAGCATTCTGATTCAACCTAGTAGATCTAGGATTTGTCTAATATTAGGTTAACGGTCAATCTTAATGAAATCACTTAGATATCTCAATCCATTCATACGGGTCGCAAATGAGATCTTTTCTCTCGATCAAAATTCATCATAACTCGGTCATCAAAGAGACTAAATAAAGATATTAATATTCACTTTATTCTAGGATTTAAATAGATGTATATATATGAAATTTTATGTACTTATACATTGCATTAACAATATTATGATCATATACTTCTTTCGTAAGTTGTATTCTGTACAGAACTTTCAATATATATATTGATAGATTAAATCATTAATAAAGAAAAAAAAAGAAATGTTAATCCATAAAAATCGATATATTTAGTCATTTTCAGTTTAACCATGTGATTAAATCATACAATTTACAAAATAATACATTCATTAGAATTTCGATCATTGATTGTTTTGTTTTCATCGTTGATTGATAAATCAATTACAATATGTCCATCATAATAAGTTACTTTTAAGTTATTTCGACGGACAAACTCTTCAACTTGTGGTTTTATTTTCGGTATTTTATTTGGTGAATTATTTCCTATTCCTGTAATAATTGTTAATTGTGATAGATTTTCTAAACGACATCTATTTAATCCATCTTCTACATATTTCAAGGCTTCAGTAACATAGAGACCATGTAAATCAATAACTTCATTCGAACGATTTTGATTAAAATGTTTAAAAATTAATTCAGCTGCTTGTTGATTCTTTTCATTCATTCGTATATAAAGATTATTCTTGTTAATTGATAATAATTTTGCTTGAGATTTATTTCCAGATTGATATTCCAATTGAGAGTGTCTTGATGCTTCTTTTGCTTCGTTCATAAGTCGAAATGCTTCACATCGTAATGATACAGCTTCAATAGGAATTCCATTTTGCACGTAAGCTTCAGCATTTTTAGATAAAACTGAATTACCACCTTCATTGCCAGAAGAGAATAGATTACCCATAATTCAGATTAATTTCTTACTAAAATATAGATTATAAATCAAGTACTATTTTTATCGTAAATAATGTTATAAAGGACAAATATGCAAGTGAAAAAATGCTGTTGTATTTGAATAGAAGACGGACAACTGTATAGATCTATCTTCGAAATTTTCTCTTAGATAATAGTTCAAGATGTTCACACGTATTGAAACTTATCTTAAAAATGTATTGTTTTTTTTTTCTTGTTTTTATCTTTCGATTAATATCTTAAAAATAAATACTCTTGCTTTCTAATGTGAAGAATCAATGTTGCGAATATTTTGTTCCGTGCCACGTTGTGCCTTCCATTTTGTTTTCCTTTTGCTATGTCATGAGAATACTTAGTACCATATTCTGATTCATGTATATAAAATCGAATGAATAGCGAAAGGAGAATGGAAAAAATATGCGTCTTTTTCATTCTTCTTCTTCCATCTGTTCTCTTATACTCATCAAAAAGAATATGATATAAAAAAAACAATAATTATATAGATGCTCGTCACAGATATTATAGATTATGAACGATCAAATTCAGTCTAATAGTTTCTTTATTACAAAACTAAAATTTATCATACTTAATTAATATCTTTCAAGAAAATGATAAATGTGTTCCAGAGTGACATGTGTATAAGACCAGTCAAAATCTGAAAATAATCTGTGAACTGGCATACTGTTGTTACTTTCTTGATCGGGTAAAAATAGATAGTAAATAAATGATTTGCGATATAACTCGTCCCTATTTACGTGATTAGTTTTAATACTCTTATACAAAATCGATCGAAATGATTGATCTATAAAAGATTATTATTTCAAACTTTATTTATATTAAAAGAATATCATTGAAAACGTAATTAACGTGATATAAAAATAAATCAATATCTGTTCTATTGAGTAAATTTACTTTTTGAAAAAAAAAATATAACTAATGTTATTATTTATGAATTATTTATCATTATAATATTTCTGCTTTATGCATATATATTTTTCAGTTTTTGTAATGTTATGCTTTCTCTTTGCTTCAAAAGTTGCACGAATACATAATCATCGATTTCTGTTGGCATTTTTCTGAATATATATCATATTGTTATTAAAAAACATATATAGTATTGTTTCAATAATGTTAATTTATAATTCATTTAGGACGTGAACATTCATATTGAAATAAATTGATTATTGATTTTTAATACAAGCTGTCTATCATTAGGTTTATTCATTGGTAAAATTATCTACACTACTTCAACACTTTTATAATTACTTAGTTTTTGTATAGAAGTTTACAAAAACGGTGTGTGAATTTGAGCATAGGAATACTTTTATTTTCTCAACATAAATTTCCAGTTTCTCGTTTTTTTTTACTTATTATACAATTAGATCGTGAATTGACATGGAATATTTATGCTAATTCTGGAAAATTTGTGAATTATTCTTTAATGTTCATCTTACCGACTATTAAACAAGTCATTAAATTTTAGGCTTGTTTTATTTCATTGTCTTCAAGATTGAGTCATGCAAGTATCAAGTTAGAAAATATGATATATGAAAAAAGAGTGAAATTCACGGCATTTTTTATGGAATGCATCGACCAAAATGTACAACTCTTTTCTCTTTGATATTTTTTATTATTTGAGTTATTTTCAAAAACCTTAGAAACTAAGAAATGAACAGCTGCACAAATGATTATGGCTAAAGATTGCTGAATGATCGTATTAGATTCATCATTAAAATATATTTATTTGATCACAATAAAAGATTTAAGTTTATTTGAAAGAATAAAGAAATGGTACATATGAAGTATTGAATTTATGAAGGAATAATTAAAGAATAAAAGGTATATTTGGAATTTAGAGTAATGTGTAATAAAGAATGAAACTTATATTTAATGATGTGAAAAAAATTGAACTCGGTTGTTATTATGATCGGATACATACAAATTCAGTTGATTATCAACTATTATCCAATATGGAGAATATAATTGATTCTGACTAATACCAGGTGAACCTGTGACGCCAGCAATGGTTGTGCCATTGGATTGGCCTGCAAAGAAAAACTGAATGCGATGATTTCCTGAATCAGCTACATAGATATTGCCTAATGGATCTAAAGTGATGCCGACCGGTTGATTGAGAAGTGTCGATGTGCTACCACTTAATCCCGTAGAACTGCCAATAACGAGTGTCCAGCTACTTGCACCTAATACCCAACGAACAATATTATTGTTTGGACAATTAGCAATTAAAAGACTATTTGAGGATGCATCAAAAGCAAAACCATACGGATAGTACAATTGTGTAATACCAGATCCTGCACCATTTCCACCAGCAACTACTGTACCCGAAGAAGCATTCACGAGATATCTCATTATACGATGATTGAGATTATCGGCTATATAAAGTGTACCTGTGCTTGAGTCACGGGCTATACCACACGGCCAATTGAAGGTATTATTTGTAGATCCCGCAATACCTAAATTAGAATTGTATAGAACAATTTCCTCTTATATCTTGTTAAGCGTTTTAAGCTCAATCTTCATAACAATATACTAAGACTGCTCATTATTCATTTCAATTTTTTAAGCTCTGAATGATCTGTTATTTTAGTAATCAATAACATGACATTATTTTTCACAGGAATTACTAATAATTAAGTATATGTTCTCTCTATACAACAGGTTATTCTCAACAGACTTCGTTTTGGTGCAATTTCCAATTAATTGATTAGAAAAAGATGTTAAATAAAGATTTTCAGTCATAAAACGAGAATCAACAGTTTCGAGTATTTTTTGTATCTTTTCGTACCTGTAATACCGGCAATCGTATTGCCAGATGATGCACCATTTGCCCAATATACAACTCGATGGTTATTTCTGTCTGTAAAATACATATTATCATTAGAATCAAGCACAACACTGACAGGCAAGTTCAAAGCAATTGAGCTTGCACCAGCAGTGGCATTGGATAGACCAGCCACCGTTGTACCATTCGATGCATTGATCATCCATTTTTGTATGCGATTGTTGATAAAGTCGGCAATATAAAGTGAGTTGAATGAACCCAATGCGGTTCCATATGGACTAGTGAGCAGATTAGCTGCTTTGCCTGCAGAACCGTTACTCGCACCAGCTACAGTGTTGCCCATTGCATTCCAACCATGTAAGATCAGAGTAGCTAGAAAAACAAATGAAATCTATAGCATAAATAGTACACCTCACTGTTAGTTATAAAATCGATGAATGTATATTCTCTTTCGTATTTTATACAGTAGATTTATTTGTATGATCCATTGAAGTTCACTACTATCTTTCAGAATCTCTTGTAAGCTATGAGAGTTAATGTGATGCCCCGATTTGAATCTTGATGAAAAGATTGCATATGTCTATATGTCTCTTTTCTTACTGTCAGCATTATAGATCTTTGAAAATAATAGTAATCTGCAGAAAACTTTAGTAATATATATGGCTATTCTTAATGAAATTAATAATGAAAATTTTTTTAATATCAATAACTTTAACTTTAATATGTCTCTTTCTATAAAATCGATAGAACTAAAGAAGTTTTCAATAGTTCTCGAAATTATTCTAGCCTTCACTTCTATATTTTCTTTCATTTATACAGTTTTTATGTCCTTGATGCTCATCTATATAACGATATGTAATTTATTCATGAATGAAAAAGAAATACAAAATAGACTAGGAGCAAATTTAATAAGTTTCCTACCTGTTAATTTGCTCTGCTAAAAGTCATAAACTATTGTATTCATCGAGACGGTAAGATTCGCTGGTGATATTCGCCCGCTATATAACGAACATTGAGGAATAGTCAAACTATCAAATACAGCAGTACTGCAATTAGCAAATTGATTTGCACATTGAGCAGCACAAGTTATTTGATATTTTACAATCAGACGAGTGATTATGGTGCTTGTTGAATTATAGCTCATGTTATAGTAGACATTGCCTATTGCCGAAAGTGATGCATTCGCACTTGTAATCCAAATACGAGAATACATGCATAATATATACACATAGACCATCTTGGTTATCTGAAAACAAGTTTATATAATTCATAACATTCATACTACATTTATTATTATGTACAATCTACATCTATTACTATTAGCTTATATCTTTTGTCTATACTTTGCTGTGCATCAGTTTAGTTTGTTAAATTTTAAAAAAGAAGCTTTTATTTCTATCCAACAAATGTTTTCACTAATTTGCATTTGACTAGACACATAACTCACTCAAATCAAATAAGAAAAAACTAACTTTGTAATGTCGAAACAAACAAGTCTATGTTTTTTGAAACAGGAATATTTAACGGACACTACGTAGAACGCAGAAATAAATGGGTCATGTTCAAAATCCGATGAAGATTTTCTCAGCCATTTCGATCTCTAGTTGTATACATATGAATCTATATTAGACATCAAGAGCAGACTAAGTTCGAATCGAGCGACTTTGATTTATCTCAGTTTTTCATGTATATTTTAGTAAAAAATATAGTGATGAGAAAAAAAAAGTGAAAATATCTATGAAGATGCACTGCGTACGTCGTTAGAAAACGTGATATAAGAAAGTAAATAGTATGTCCTTTTAACACATATAAGAATATACTGATTAAAATGATGTTTTACTCTTTTTTCCCTAGACAATCAAAGAACCATTTTACACTTAGTCTTTACGTCAGCATGTTCTTTTATATGTCTGTCGAGTGAGACACAGTCGCAGAAAATAGCGAGACGAAGTGTATAATGCATCTTCCATAATTGCTATTTGCATTAGAAAAACTTCTACTTAAAAACGAGTTGTTTTCTTTTAAGAAAAAACTACTTTACAGATAGTTTTGTCATTATACTTGATGATTTTATACTCAAAAGTATATATATACATGATAATGGATGAAATTGAAATAAACAACAAACTTGTTAAACATTTTTCAGTTTTATTAATTTTTAGAAAGATCAGATATAGATGTTAATGTGATGCTCAAAAGTTTTCATAATCCTCCTTGTTTGGTACCAATAAACCCATTTTTGTTGCGCTTACATTTAATATAAATTAGCTATATTACAATGTATATTTGGATAATAAAAAGTTTTATTCTATGTTATTGATAATATAAAAATAAGAAGAATCAAGCAAAAAGTCGCTTTTGGTAACAAATATATGTGTATAAATGTTTTATCGGATAAAGACTACAGTAGTATATGTTTTAATGGTTCAGAAAAACTTCTTATCATTTATTAGATAGTGTTGTAGTGATATATTTCTTCTTTCTGTTGATCTCAGAATGTATCTTCCCGTTTTCCCAAACTCACGACAGTCCACTAGTAATCTGTAAGAAATTTTTCTTACGCTAAAAACTAGTACTGTATCCAGTTTACAATTTATCACAGAAAAATTAAATCTGCAAGTTTCTAATTAGAAATTCGGCTCAGTATTATATTTCATTACAAAAGGCATAGCTAAAATAATGAGGAGAAAAGCATATCAATAAAATTAATATTTACCTAAAGTTCATAATATAACACTCATTTAACTCTTTGAAGACAGGTGGGGGTGAAATGAAAAGAATATTCTCACACACGTTCACACCCACTCGTTATCAACATTTAGGAAGTAGCGAAAAGGCTAGATAAATACGAATTGCGTTCATGTAAAAAATATTCATAATACTGTTAATACGAACGAAATGTGAACGTTGACTGTATAATTGAAAAAATACAAAAATGAGTCATCTGTTATGTTACTACTCTTTTTTCGCTGAGAACAAACTTCAAATTTTGAAGAACTCATAATTTCGAAAAACGTATAGTCATCTCTGAGTATGAGTACGGTGCATAAAAAGTTGAATCTTCATCAATTAATCGAAATTGAAATTAAATACTACAAGAAATCTATTCATCATTATTTAGTAATCTTCAGAAAAGATGGTGACAAAGCGTCAAAAAACGCTTTGTTATGTGACTTTGTGTAAGTAAAGGAATAGTACTGTTTAATTTACTCAATATTAGTCAAGCATAGCGATATTTTCACACTGTAACCATTACAAAACAACAGATAGTTTTACAAGTATTCAATCACTTTATCATTTCGATAATAGACACATGATACTTTCTTTTTTTAATACATCCAATATAATTCTATTAGTGCATTTATTTTATTTACATCAATGATAATATTCTTCGAATGGAAAAGAAGATAATGTCTGACTTCATTTTTTGATAACAATGATAAGAAAATATATAACATAAAATCAATAATAAAAAGTGAAAGAAATAATAAGGTGAGATAATGCAATAATAATTTTGAAAAGTGAATACTTTTCTTTTACACATATCTATGGAGTAATCACAGTAAGTTACTCGTTATGCATGAGAAGAGAACAGAACAGAAGAGAAAACGAATATGTACATGTAACGATCGAGGTTACAACGCAAGGAAAAGAAAAAAAAATATTGCCATAAAAACCGAGAGTGATATTCTTTTAGTGACGGTTTTTATATTACACAAGGATAATATCATACAAGGATGGTATGTTGTAAAGACATTGCACCTATCGCCACACGTGTGTTATTAGTTTTTATTATTGTTGGATTACTTTTTACACCAATATATAATGATTATTCAACAAATGTGAAGCTTATATTTAATAATATCGACAAAGAAATAAATAAGATACAAAGATGTCAAGTAGCAGTAATATTAACAAGGCATTCATCCGATTATTTGAAGATGGAATTTACAAAAAATCTTATTTCTTCGCTTGGAACATTGAAAGATTTTAATTCTTCATGCAATTTACGTACGTTTACACTTCGAACATCTAATCTTTCAGAACCATTTAACAGAAATATTTTTATTAATGATGAATCCTCAACAAGAATTATTGAAAATTTTACACATTATATTAATAATAATAATAATTTTACTTCTATTGTTATGGTTCAAGACTTTGAAGTTTCTTCAAATATGTGGCAGTTAGCTCATCTAGGATGTAAACTCTCTTTAAATATTAAAGTATATTACATCTTGCATTCCTCCTTACTCAATCCAAGTTTAGAAGTGATAGGCCTTGTCAGATACATGTCAAATCATGGTACATACTTAATTGTTCTTACTTGGTTTGATTATCATAGTTTAATTCATACATGTGGAGTTGAAGAAAAGAAAATTTTACATATTTCATATGGAATATCCATACCAAAGTCTTCGAAAAATTTCAAATCAGTTGAAATATTATCAAAATATAAAGATACAGATTTTGTATTGCTTTCAATTATTTCAAATCACCCAAATAAAGATTACAACCGATTAATTCTCAATCTTAAATCCATAATTTCAAAAATTCCTAATTTTTATCTATTAATTATTGTTCAAGAATCTCTTATAATAAATTCAAATCTTTCTCAAGCAGTGAAAAATGTTCAACTTGAAGATAAAGTGACGTGGACAAATAAATCTATGTCGACAAATGAATTAGATGCCCTATATAAACGAGCAAACGCTTATATTTCAGTTCTTGATAAAACGATATTGACTTTTGTCACTTTATTAAATGCTATGTCATATGGTTTACCTATTATTTCAACACCGAATATATTTTCTCATGAAATTTTAAATGATAATAAAGGTCTTATAGTTTCATTTGACGATGATAAAGTTATAACAGAATCAATTATCACATTTCTAAAAAATCAGACACGAATGAAAATGTTTAGCAAGAATGGTCATGAATCAGTGAAAAATTGGACTTGGGACAATATTGCTAAACAATATACGCTTCTTTTTAACAACTCTTTGAAACATGCATTAATCGATGATCCATACAAAACGGAAATGTATTGGAATAATACTGGCACAATGAGTTTCGATGGTCAAAATATGTTCTCATCTCTAGCCAAAGATAAAGCTAAACCTGGTATTTATACAATATACTCAGATTCTTTTCTTCAACTGAATGGAAAAGTTAACAATAAGTATGAAATCGAATTTATTGGGTTGAAAACGCTGAATCAATATATCATCCTGCATAGACATGAAGGAATCGATGAATTTAATTTTAATAAAGAAAATTTCACGTGTCTAATCCAAATTGATTATATTAAACAAAGAATATTTTTTGCATCAAAAAATATCAATCTGGAAATTTTATGTACGAACAATGAAATAAAAATATCTTTTTCAAAAATAAATAAATTTACAAATGTTTTTGGATTGATTGGTTCAACTATTGGATTCCGCAAAGAAAATACGAACACTTCAAAATGGTTTATTCCTGGACCTGATATATTTTCACATTCTTGCGAAGGACAAAGATTATCTATATTGGGAGTTAAACATAATGCTTTCATTTTACCTGAAAATATTCTACAATGTTCAGAAGAAAAATCTCGAAAAATTAAATTAATCATGGAAGGTCGCTTTTTTGAAAAAAGTGGATTTTCTTCTGTTAATCGTAAAATGTTCTTATCATTAATCACATACAAAAATTTAATTATCTCTATAGAACCGATTGATATAGAAGTGCGTCCAGATGAAACAGCTTTCGAAGCGTTATTAGTCTATTCATTCTTCCTCCGTCAATATGCTTATATAGAAAAATACAGAAAATCAATTTCTAAACAATTATTTTCTAAGGACAAGACAATAATATTTAGAAATGCTTGGCCACCAAATTTAGAAGATGTATTCGAAGAAGAAATACTAATACACCAACAACCATGGGAACTGCATGCGATTCCCATTGATTGGCTACGATGTTTTCAGAACAAAACTGATGAATTATGGGCACCAAGTGAATATGGGAAAAGTTCATTTATAGCAAATGGCATAGATAAAAACAAGATTCACGTATTTCCTCATGGTATATTCGTGGAAAAGTTCAATTTGACATTATCACCATTTCCATTAAATACGAAAAAAACTTTCAAATTTTTAAGTATTGGAGGAGAAGTATCTCGAAAAGGATTCGATGTATTACTCCATACATATAATGCTCGATTTTCAAGTAAAGATGATGTTACATTAATAATTCATTCAATTTATGGCGATTCTTCAGAAGATGTACTGAGAGAATTCAAAAAGAATCCATTATCTCCAGAAGTAATTATTCTACGTCATCAGATGACTGATATGGATATGATTCGATTATACAAAAGTGTTGATGTTTATGTTGCGTCGTATAGAGGCGAAGGTTTTGGAATATCAACACTTGAAGCTATGGCTGCAGGACTACCGCCTATTGTTACAAAATATGGTCCTGCATTAGACTTTTGTCCAGACGAATGTGCTTATTATATAGATGCAAAAGTCACCGAATGTTTTAGAAATCCTTGCGGAAAAATGAGTGTGTTTGGATCAAAAACTGCAATACAAGCAATGTGGGCAGAACCGAACAATCAATCATTATCACAAAATATGTATCGAGCATATACTAATCGAACAGAACTTAGAAGAAAATCTCAAATATGTCGAAAACATGCAGAATATTATACTTGGGATAAAGTAGCAGACAAAATTTTTAAAAGACTATCTCAAATAACTCATTGACATTCTTAAAGTGTGATCATTGATACTTCTTTTATTTTCATATTTTTCTGTCTTCTCCTATTATCGTTAATATTTTCAAAATCTCTCCAATATGAGGGTGTGGATGTGGGAATATTGTCTTTATTATACCCACGCCCATACTCTAGTTCACAGGAATAGTGTGTGAATTTGAGCATATGAATACTTTTTTTTTCTCAACATAAATTTATAGCTTCTCGATTTTTTTTCAGTTATTGTACAATTAAATTGTGAATTGGCATGTAATATTCATAGTATAATCTTGAGGGTGTGGGTGTGGGTGTGGGTGTGGGTGTGGGTGTGGGTGGGTGGGTAAGGGTGGAGGTAGAAGTATCTATCTTCTTTATTCACACGCACACGTACACCCACACCCACACCCACACCCACACCCACCCACACCCACACCCACCCACCCACACCCACACCCACACCCACACCCGCTCCTTAGAGAATCATATTCCAGTACCGAGAATCAAGGTATACAGGTAATTAGGGGAGGTGAACAAACTATTCAACTCCCTAATAGAACAGTGGCTCTTTTGGAAGATATTAGAGCATACTTAGTTAATTATTACGAACAAACACCTGCACAAATAGATTCCGAAGAACGTCTAAAGCGACTGAGACAACCTTTGGTTCAAAGGCTAATCGAAGTTCAACGAGAAATCGAACAACCGATACAGCTATCAATAATTGACCAAGACATTTCAACTGATGAACAATTAAAATCCACAATCAAGTTAGATGACGAACGTAGCCTAGATTCATTTTGGCCCATTGGAAGTGAATCGTGGCATATTCACGAAATTAAACCACAGCGAGTTTTGGAGCTTAAAAACTTTTCATATTCGATTGGATTGGTTGAAAATATGTCTATGGAATTTGAATCGGAAATTCCTGAGAAAATAGCGAATCTTCAAACTATTATTTCACCTAACGAGATAATGCATCAAACCGATGAAGTACACAGTCTTCAATCGCACAAAATTGTAGAACTGGATGTACATCAATTCACACCCGCTGAAAACAATTCTCAAAATGCTGAAACATCAGCACATTTTTTACATGCTGTTCCATTAGTTAATGAGCAGCAACAAACTCACTTAGAACCACCAGAAACAACAAATGTACGATACAAGCCTCAATTAAGGCTTTGTCGACGTCATACAAATCAGAAACCTCGGTTACATGACTTAGTATCCACTTCAAAACAATGGTTTACAAAGTCTTCACCCAATGTTAAAACAATTAAAATACTTCGGGATCTCGAATCACTTTTATTCTATGCGATACTTTAAAATATGACTTAATTTCAAACGCAATATTTGGATTTTAGGCCTTTGGATTGGTACGGATATTTGTTTTGAATTTATCGATACACGTTTTGCTAAACATAAGTGATGGTGCTCAAACATATGTTATTATGAATTTATAGGAACTTTAGCTATTTCTATGAAAATCCCTATGAATCTCTATTAAATCCGTTGAATTATTAAAAAAGAATATATATGGTATAAATATTATAAATATTATGATTTTTATATATGATGAATTATTATGAAGTTGCACGAGTGACAATATACTATTACGAATGAATATGAAGTTTTACAAATTGAAATATATTAATTAAACAGAATTCAACTGCACACATCAACGATGAGGATAAATTTATTCAGAAGAAATTAACATAAGGGCGGCGATTAAAGGCGGTCGGGATAAGATACATATAGAGGCTACATATAAAAATATATGTAGCTTATCCTAGAAAATATTGACCAATCAGATTTCGTCCATATTTTACCCATGTTTGTCCAATATTAGATAACATTATATTACACTGTCTACATATGTATACATACACTGTGTGACCTGTTGAGGTCATTTAGCACGATATTTCTAGAATTTTCGAGAGTTTTCCAGACATGCTATACTCAAATTTGTAAGAACTATCCAGACATAGTATCCACAACTTTTCAAGGGCTATCTACAATAGTATCTGTAACTTTTTGAGGTTTATCAAGACATGGTATTCGTAACTTTTTAAGAGCTGTTCAGGCATAGTATGTATAACTTTTTAAGGCTATCAAGACATAATATCAGTAATTTTTTAAGGGCTACCTAAACATAGTATCTGTAACTTTCAAAGACATATAAGAACAGAATTGGAATTCAAAGATTGTTGAGATCATATGTTGGAATTTGTGTAAAACTCTATGGCGCTTATAATTTCTGACGACTGTCTGACCATAATATCATTGAATTTGTATTAATAATATTATGATGAAACATGTGAGTTCAGTGACTATGAAAAGAGTTTTTATGTTGGCACTAAAGAGCTGCTTGAACATGATAAGACTCATGAATCAAATACAACATGGACTGAGAAGCCTTATTTTTTTGTGAAATACGCTACTTCAATGTTTTCTTAGTTTATCAGAAAAAAAATAATACATGTAGATAACAGTTAAGACAGCACTGTAAGACAAGCTTATACAATCATGCTTTACAAAACAGTGAATGACCAGTGTATAAAACGTTTTGCTGGGTATCGTTCAGTTCACAAACACTTTGAAATTGCTGATCTATTTACAATTATTCGAAAGATTCGAAAATTTTAACAGATGCTCAAGAAAAGGAATGGACACTTTAGTTCGCAAATATATCGGTTGAGAAAAGCGATTGATTTTTAATATTAGCAGTTTTATATAGAATGCCATAGATTATGATTTTCACATTTCAAGCTACTTCAAGGACTTAAACCGATCATGAAACAACTTTGAAATCGCTAAAGAATAGATTTTTTGCTTGATTAATACAGCTAAAACCAGAACCGAATGTAGTAGATGAATTAAACGATTATGAAGACAATAAACCATGGTATATAAAATAGACGAAGAACTAGCACCAATATGAAAGAATTTTCAATAGTTATAGATAGGTGTAGGTTGAGAAATCTTTATTGTTTATAACATGAAGATGTTTGATTTTTTTGATTATGATGAGCATCTGAAGCAATGTTCTTGAGTCTCATTTTGTCAACGTATTTGATCTAAATATTTTGCTCCTATTTTATAAACATGTTCCAATGCTAAGATCAAAAAACATACTTATGTGAGATACTGTACAGACTTCAACAAAAACTATATGAAAGTAACTGATTGTTGGAACTGACGAACAACTTCTATTAGGTTTATCGTAACATAGAACAAATTTATCTGATAATCACGACGGAAGAAAAATTATATTTATTGAATGTACAGTCTGGGAAAAAAGTTTAAGCGAATTTGATTTTTCGCTTTTTTTTACATATTTGTTTTTATAATTTTTTCCTGATATTAACGAGTATCCGTTTGATTCAAACGGTGATCTAAGTAGTATGAGAGACCTACTATATGATGTACTGGAAGGAGTTTTTTCCTTTGTCTTTATAGATTATTTATAGTGAAAATGATTTTTTTCACAAAAAAATAGATTTTTGAGCGTTTTTGTATTTCGCATTTCCTAACCAAGAAATTTTTTCAAAAAAATTAAAAAATATACCAATCGATAGAGCTTGAAATTCTCTATCGATTGCAAAAAAAAGATGTTTCCCTAGGTTGTACTATCATTTCATAAATGTGATTTTAGTGACAAAACAAGAAACACAGTAGCAGGTTAAATCTGCTGTTGTATACTTTTTCTTATCAAGATATATTATACATCACTAGAAAGAGCATGCAAAACTGAACTAAATAGTGGTATTTAACTTTAATTATAATCTGCTTAAAGACTATTTTCCAGCAACTAAACTTTTGAGTACGAAAATACATTTTTATTGTTTGTCAAATTTCATGTGAAAAATAGTGCCTATTGTTCCGGTTTTGTTAATAAAATCACATTTATGAAATGATAGTACAACCTAGGGAAACATCTTTTTTTTGCATTCGATAGAGAATTTCAAGCTCTATCGATTGGTATATTTTTTAATTTTTTTGAAAAAATTTCTTGGTTAGGAAATGCGAAATACAAAAACGCTCAAAAATCTATTTTTTTGTGAAAAAAATCATTTTCACTATAAATAATCTATAAAGACAAAGGAAAAAACTCCTTCCAGTACATCATATAGTAGGTCTCTCATACTACTTAGATCACCGTTTGAATCAAACGGATACTCGTTAATATCAGGAAAAAATTATAAAAACAAATATGTAAAAAAAAGCGAAAAATCAAATTCGCTTAAACTTTTTTCCCAGACTGTATAATCACGAAGATAATTCATTCTAATATCGCATCAGTATTAATGGCCGCATTTTCGTATGTTATTGATGCTTTCAAACTTTTCTCACTTTCATCTAGTATCGATCGTATCACTTGGCATAGCTTGTATCTATCAAACTATAAATTTTTCACCAATTTTATTCATTTGAGATTGAAGTTCCTCAAAATGTTTTTAGTGTAAACTTTTAAATAGCTTTGCTAATTTTTATTGATTAAATATTCTCTCTACTTTCTGATTGTATATCAAACATGAATTTAATATATCACCACAGCTAACTACTTATACTAAAATCTTTTGATATGTAATCCTTTGAATGATTCTTCTTGTGAATTATTTCTATACTTTGAGCAAACTCAGATAAATGAGTATAATGTTATCGTAGTTTAATGTCACGTAGAAATTATTAAAAAAATATTCAGTCACTTTTATTGCAATAAGCGTTTATTTCAGACAAAAATCTATACTTTATAAATACTTTTATCTATGTTTTCATCGAGCTTGTTCAGAATAAAATAATCTGACTAAAAACAGATATAGAAGTATAGAATCAACTCTAAAAATAAAGTGGCAGAAAGGAAAGAGAAGTTGATCATTGTCATTAGTATTTGCTGTATATTTTTAGATATCTTCCACTTTCATGATAATCTAATTAATAGATATGATAATTAAGTGTTTATGTATCTTAAAAAAAATTTTTAACTGATATTGTACAATCATGATTTCCCATATATATACTCACTAACAGAGCACCTAATGGGCCGGGCTGGGCCTGAAAAAGTCAACCCATGGGCCATGAAACTTCGGCCCGGCCCATGGGCTGGGCTTTCATCAAAAAGTAGCCCAGCCCACGGGCGCCCATGAGCTGCATTTCTTATTAAAATTTGGCGTATACATAGTTTGCGTTATCTGTTTAATTACAAGTATTTATTATCGTTCTTTTTTATTTTATTTTATAAGTTTAATCACGATTAGTTTCTTGAATTTCATGATAACAAATAGATTTTTTAAGTGTAAATAAATCAAAAGAGAAAAGAAGGTATATCAGTTTTCGTACAGCAATATAGTTTATATAAAACAAACAAAAATATTATAAATCCCAAGATAAATGCAAAATATATTGTTAATAAAGGAATAACAGGCGCAGAAAAAAACATACTACTTTTGTAAAGTTTTTATTGAACGAATTACTACTATATTATCTTGTTGATTAAGACTTAAACTTAATCGGCGTTCATCAACAATAAAACCCCTTGAGCGGAAACACCTTTCGACTGCTGCCGAAGATACAGGAATCCAATGTATGTGCTTAGCAAGTATTGATAAAATAGGAAAAGCTACTTGATAATCTTTCTAAAAGTCAAGAGAATTGAAAAACAATTTAGACTTATCGAGCTTCAGAGACAAATAGCTTGTTAGTTCATCAGCTTGTAATAGTATATTTTAATATTTTAATTAAAACTCAATTTATGGGCCGCCCATCAGAAATTGAGTCAGCCCAGCCCAGCCCATGGTTTTTTATTTTGAGAAATCTGACCCATGGGCTGGGCTGGGCCGGGCTGGGCTGGGCGGTTATGGGCTCAGCCCAGCCCATTAGGTGCTCTGCTCACTAATCCTTGTCCACATATCGATCGTCGAAAAAATGAAGTTGATACCTTACTGTGATTCGTGCGTATTGATTTCTCGTTAGAGAAAATACAAAGCAAGATTATACAAGGCCATATACAGTGCAGAAAAAATAATTGAAAACTGTGGTTAACAATTATGTCTTTTAGGCTCACAAATATTTCTACGAAGCAATGCAACATACTCATAATAGCTACAGCAATTGCTAAAGTATTTACGGAAGAAGCGGGATGAGAACAAACTGTATGAAGAGTATCAAACATTAGGCTCTCACATATGAGGTTAGGAAACGCTTATAGTCAAAAATCCGATAATTTATATTGCTAAATAATAATCTTGTTTTTCGTGGCAGCGAACACCCTGCGAAGCAGTCTCAAATTTTGCCCGAATTTGTCTTTGTGTAGAATATATGTTGAT